CCAGCTTTGTGGCTGCCCGCTGAACTCGTTCAACGGAGTTACGATCAACCACCAGCCCAGAGCACGCAATTTGGGCTCCGTATCGATTAGCGCGTTCAGAGTTATTCCGTTGACTTGAATTGTTACCGTGGAATTGGAGACCGACGAATGGTGATTCTGCAACAACGAATGAAAGGGTTGGATTTAACACAGATAATGTACATCTGAGACGAGTGTTAGAATTGGATCGACAAACCTGTGTGAAATACCCTTTCTTTCCACAAGAATTATATGTGGCTTCTCGAGCTGGGCATTTCGAACGAGGATGTCGATAACTTCCGCAGAAAAAGTATTTAGCGGAAACCACTGCAACTAAGTCTTTGATCTCGGGTTGTGAATCAGAAACTCCAGGACGTTGTATTGAAATTGAGGGATGTCTGGTTAGTCATGGAGCTGCAGGGTACATGTAAGAATGAATCGTAAGTGAGCGACTGCTGCTATGCATTCTCCAAAGTACGAACCTCGTTAAAAGTACACTGCAAAATTAGGGTTTGCTTTTCAAGCCGCTGGCGAATATCGTTGGAAAGCAGCCCCGTAATGAAAGCATCACGGATAGCTTTATTGCGATGTCTCTCGGAGGAAACTGCGACGAACTTACAATCCTTTGCGAGAACTGAGTTTCGGTGTAAACTTATCAATCGTTTGTCCTAGTTCTTGCTTTGTTGATGTCAGTAGATGTCGTGCAAACATTTAGTTATTTGGCTTAACGCACAGACCTTCAAGGGTTCTGATAGCATCTTCATAATCGGGACAATCGATTATGTGTTGGTAAACGGACGGCGATATGAAATNAAATTCACCAGAAACTTTTTCTTATCTATGTTGGGTAGATTGACAGTAGATATGATGTTGCAGAATGTTTCATGCTAGTGAATCTACTGTTCGGAAGCGGATGAAGAATAAGGATCGGTATCAAATCGCTCCGGGCGAAATAAGCGATCCATCGTTGTTAGAAGATTAAATTGTGATGAGCTCGAATGATTGAGCGACGAACGAGAGAGAAAACGGACAGCCGGAAATGAGGCTTTAATCTGCTAACAATGTAGGTAAATCAGCTACAATAAAAAGATGGAAAATCTACATTATCAGTAAACGGTGAAGCAGTGGTATAAAGATGAAAGGTATAACAAATCCACCACAAGCGGTTTTACACAAGTACCATATAAGAGTTGAAAGTTTTCGTTATCAAAGCGAGGGAAGGAGCGCTGGATAAAGTTGAGTACCCCAAAAGCCTTTTCTCGGGCTTTGGGGATGGCAAGAAAAAGATAGAGTTAGTTAACCAGAAGCCAAGGACCTTATGCTGGTTGACAGTCTGAAGTTGGGATATGTTGCACACATTGAAGGTGTGCGCGCAGCCTATGCCAAAAGACGTACTAACACATTTGTCACCATTTATTGGGAGGCTCCAGTTTGATGATCATGCCTTGGTGATATCTATGGCTGCCTGCACTGCTGATGTGTCAGATTGTGATATCGTCAGCACAGATAGCAATATGGACTGGGATTTTGTCCGGGAGATCATTTATGTATAGGATGAAAAGGAGTGGATCTAGGACGGATCCCTGGGGAATACCTATTGTCATCGGGGAAGAGGCGGAGAAAGAGGTTCCTGCTCTAACGGAGAATGAGCGCGAGGATAAAACGCTGCCTAGAAGACTAAGAAGCCTGCCGTTAATACCATACATTTCCAGCTTGTACATTAGTGGAAAGTGCGGTACTCGATCAAAGGCTTTGGCAAAATCTATGAAGACTGCGTGTGAGATTTTACCATCATCACAGGCCTGGGTTAGACTTTCCATGACATATAGCATATTGGTGATACTTGACCTGCCAAGAACGAAGCCGTGTTGGAAAGGGGAAAGGTTATTTTCCTTCAGGTGTTCAATAATGTCTCTTAACGTTAAAAAATTTTGCTGGGGACTCTTGTTAGACTTATAAGTTTGCAGCTGCTGGGGTGGTACCGGAGTCCCTTTTCATATATCAGTGATATGAGTGCCTTTTTCCAGGCATTGGGGAATTCACCTCTCTGGAAAACAAATCCGCGTGCTGAGAGCAGATGTCAGTTTCCCAATCAATGTGTGGCGCATTGGAACCACCCAAGACAAGACAATGTCCATCGCAGGCATACCTATGTAATCTGACCAACAGCTCCGGGACGTTCACAACCGGTGTGGAGTATATCACTCCAACTGTGGTGTACCCCCTGCACAAAGCTTGATTCTGCACTACAGGGCTTCTCCAAATCCTTCCGGATGGGCGAAGTTCTCCAGAACTCGAACAGGGAAACCTGGGCGAACAAAAATAACAACTCCACCACTGCGACATGACAATCGTCAATCCGTTCGAAACATTGTGTATCCGTGGAGTGACATTTCGGGGTCCCGGATATCCCGTGTTAGACAGGTCTCAGTGATTGAAAAAAGATCGGAATTGTGTGATACAACCCAGCCTCCAACTCGTCCCTTTCTCCCAGCATCCCTCAGATGTTGGTTGAGACTAGCACAGCGTGGTTACCTCGCCTTTCGCGCCTCAACCTGATCCCGGACCAAGGGTAGCCAACGCAGCTGAGGGCGCTTCCGATGAATACGAAAATCCCGTATACACAGATCAGATTCCTGTTTTGCACGGCGCTTCGTGACTTCCTCCAACGCAGTTTTCAGTTTACTGCAATGGTCCGGATCAAGATCCCTGAGGAACCGCACCGGAGTTTCCTTCAGCTTGTGGGTCCGCTGGAGGATCGCTTTGGTCTCGCCTCCTACCCGAAGAACCACTTTCAGTGGCCGTAGAGAATTATCTTGGCGAGGTTTTCCAAGCCGAAATGTCAATTTTACTCTGATTGATGCTGCTGTTTCCACATCGTCGCCATCAAACAAGGTAACCATGTACCACCGCAGCAGCTGCAGGGCGTGGTCCAATCGAGCCTGAGCGGTGGTGGCCTCAGCCTCCGGAAGGTTGATAACAATGATACACTGTAATCTCGGAGGGATTTTTCTGTGCTGCATAAGTTCCTCCGAACCGCGGAGGAACCTCTCAATTGTCCGTGACTGGTTACACGCATCCTACTTGGATATCGTGGATGAGGGGGCTGAGTCTGTCCCTGGGGGCGATGCAGCATACGATAGCCCTGCCCTTTTGTTCGGTTGCTTCTGCTGCGGTTCGGCTGCATGAGCTACTTTGTAGGTGGAGTGGAAGTGACATCTGCATACGAAGGGGTCACTTTCACCATAGTAGCCGGCGTTATGGAGGCTGGAGAGGTTTTGGAAGTGAGGATTCGCCTTCCCTGGAAGTAATGATGGAGCACATGCAGCACACGATCTTCAGGAGTGGAGAGGGACATTTCTCTAGCAATTAGTATTTTTCCTCGTCGATTTGAGAGCATTTCAGGTGTATCTACCCATCACAACGGAGTGCTTTGGCCCTGGGGCCCACAGTCCTGGAGCAAGGTACGCACGTGTTCTTGGTAGCTTCTTTATTTTGAGAAATTTCTGACAGATGGATCCAGTTGAATGCATAAAACTACAAAAGAACACGTGTGAGATGCTTGGCTTGTATGGGGCAGGATGTCCCCCGTGAACGGATATACCAAACAACCGCAAGTGGGCCGAGTCCAGGTGTGTCCTGGAACCGTCGATAGACAGGGTGTTCTCCGTGGAGAGGGTTGACTTACAATCCGAAAGAGAAGAGGCGGACGTTAACGATGTATGCCCCCCCCCCTCCCCTAATGTATTTAAGCGATAACAACTAAGCTACTAATAAGCTTATTAGTAGCGTAGTAGCTACTAGTAGCATATTTGAAAAGGACTCAAGACATGGAATAATACGTACTTACTATTATGATAAAACAATCAAAAACTAAAATAATAATGCTAATAATAAAAAAATGTATGAAAGTATTACTAAATGATGAAAAGGATAATTTCTGCTATATATGATCCAGAAATGTAGATATATCGTCCGGAAATTTATCGTGTGAAAAATTAAACCATAATCTGTACTGAACCTCATCAAGATCGTCCCAAGGCATTTCACCAATACATCCAACGGAATGATTTACAGTGGAGTGGCCAAAAATGTTCCGGTGCGTATTTTTTCAAGGTCAAGGGATTCAGTTAAGTTCAGTTCAGTTTCAGTTCAGTTCAGTTCAGTTGCACAGGACGAATATGGCTCTTGCCAATCGAGCGT